AGGGAAGAGCTGAGTTGAGTGGCGGATACAGAGACTGTATGGCCAGCAAAGCCTAAACATTTTACTAACTGGCTCTTGACAGAACAGTCTGCTGACCCCTTTCCTGAACGAGAGAAAAAGCAACCAGTTTTTCTGCAGGAGGTAAATAAATATTATAGCTACTCTCCTTTGCCTCTAGTAATAAGAAACAAAGAGACCACTGAAATCCGTATCTTCTCCAAAATTCACTCTCACCGAAAACAGTCAACACTCATCAGGATTCCACTACCTGGGGAGGACCTACACCTCACCATGCAAGCCGGGGTGCGGGTGGGGGGCAGGAATGAGGGGAAACACAGAAGAAAACAGGTGAAAAGAAACCAGCCACTGTTCTCCAGAAGCTGATGATCTGGTCACAAAAGCTGATGAGCTGGATGGTCTAACTTGAGCCTCATTTCCTGCTCAGGCTTCGTGACAACAAAATTGGAAAAGAGGCCCTGCTCTAGGGCCTGACTATCAAAATGTGAGAAAGTTCTAGGAAGTTCGGTGAACCTCCAGAAAAATCCTGGAGTTAACGGGGAAAGCATTTACACGTTAGGAATTCAGTGCCTGGGGGTTTTGGAGGCAAGGTGGAGAAAAGGCTGAATCACCTGAAATGTATTCCAAAATGTGTGGGTGGGAGAGGAAAATTTCAGCAGCCCCCAAGCCATTCTCTGGAAGCTAGAGATGCCTGCTTCTTATTCCTGCACAGTGTGATCAAATCCGCTACGGGCCTGCCATGGCAGAGCCCCGTTTCCCCATTTCCAGTTTGACATTTACCAAGCTTCCGGCTTCTCCAGCTGGATGGAAGAACCAGGCAGGGCAGTTTCATGTGAAAGCAACTTCCCTTCGCTACCCCTACACTTCATGTGTTTGCAGCTCATACCAATGCTTCACCTTTAAACCACATCCCAAATCTGATCTGGTCTGCATTATATGCCTCAGATCACAAACTAACAGCCACGGCCCACAGCTGCTGGGAACCACCCACCCACCACCTGCCAGTACTTTCAGGCAGGGTCTCTTGCAATCATATCTTTCTGAAGGCTGCCATAGCTTCCACCCTGGGGACCCCAAATCCTTCACAGTTCCCCACAAATGACACGTCCTTTTGCCCCGCATGTCCCACATCTTCTCTTTTGGATCAATGACCCCTAACCCATAATCTAGGTCTAGCACAGATAGTATTCCCTCCATGCATTCCAAACAAAATGGACCTTTTCACTCACACCTTAGCCCTTGGTGTGCTGTACTGTAGCCAAATGTATTGCTAGACAGGCATTCTCTGAGAGCAACCCAATGAGCCCCGTACCATGCTTGGCCCAGGAACTGACACATAAAGGTGTTCAATACAAGTCACTGGAAAAAATGACAAAGGCAAATATTGGTCATGAGGAATACCAACCTGGTATCGTCCCAGAATAATCTTGGCATTACATCCAGGAGCATTTTTGCAATACACATACAAATTGAGGACTTCCCTTTTGCAGCAATTGTCTTTGAACACCTAAGAGAGAAACATAATAGGTCTCATACATTCCAAAGCTTCAGAGCAATGTGAATGAAACTATTATTAATTTGGTCTTCAGATACATCTCAAAAGTCAAGTGGAAACTTCCAGACAAGTTGGAATGGAAATAACAGATTCAGCACCATCAAAGAAGAGGCTTTCTCAGACATGTTTCCGACAAGCCACTAAACACAAGTCAGGAAATTCAATGCTTGGTGCAGTAGGCTGCAGGAGAATCTCACGGTGCACTTGACCTTGGATGCTCAAAGGTCAGAAGGTGGGCTGTGCGGGAGGGTAACGCTTTCAGCTTCCTGTCATAGTGTAAAAGTTTGTATTAGTCATCAGGTAGTGTCACGGAGGCCGTGCTGACTTGCTATTTCAGCGCACACCAGGGGTTGGCAAACTTTCTCCATAAAGGGTCAGAGAGTAAGTATTTTCAGCTGTGCAGGCCACGATGCAACCTTTTCTTTTTCAACTATTCAGCTCTGCTGTACACAGTACTTAAACGGATATATATGGCTGTGTTCCAATAAGGCATTATCAATGGACACTGAAGTGTAAATTTCGTGTAATTTTCATGTGTCACAAAACATAATTCTTCTCTTGATTTTTAAAATAAGTTGTTTCGAAATAGTTAGAAGACTCACAAGAAGTTGCAAAGATAGTACAGAGCTCCTGTGTACCCTTCTTTGGATTTTTTCCAATGATTTATAGGAAAACCATTCTTAGCTCACAGGCCATACAAAAACAGGTGGCAGGCTGGATTTGTGCCAACAAATCTCATGTTGTAGTATGCCAACCCCTAATCGAGTGGGTGAGGCACACACAAACACAGCACTGTCCTCTGCGAGGCATTTGCAAAACACAACATAAGAGCATAGAGAAGGAGGGATGCCGGGGTGGCTCAGTCAGTTATGCGTCCACCTTCAGCTCAGGTCATGATGCCAGGGTCCTGGGATCAGTCCCACATCGGGGTCCCTGCTCAGTGGGGAGCCTGCCTCTCCCTCTGTCTGCCACTCCCCCTGCTTGTGCTCTCTCTCTCTCATTCTCTCTCTCTCTCTCGCTGATAAATAAATAAATAAATAAATAAATAAATAAATAAATAAATACTCTTAAAAAATAATCTTAAAAAAAGGCAGGAGCATGTACATCAGACCAGGTGCTCAGGGAACTTCCTAGAGGAGGTGACGCTTGAATGTCCTCTAGCAGAATTGTAAAGGAAGAAAACTGAGCTTAAAAGGAAGTGTTAAGGGAGGGGTGTCTGGGTGGCTCTGTTGGTTAAGGGTCCAACTCTTGATTTCAGTTCAGGTCATGATCTCAGGGTCATGAGATCGAGCCCCACGTTGGGCTCTGCACTGAATGTGGAACCTGCTTAAGATTCTCTCTCTCTCCCTCCGCGCCCGCACCCACCCCCCACCCCGCAAAAAGGAAGTTTTAAGGGAGGAAAACTTTGGGTTAGGAAACAATTTCTTTGATACAACACTAAAAGAACAAGCAACCAAAACAAACAAAAACAAGTGAGACTCATCAAAACGAAAAGCTTTTCATGCTTCAAAGGACACCACTAAGAGAGTGAAAAGACAACACACAAAATGGGAGAAAAATGTCTGCAAATCGTATATCTGATAACAGCCTTGTATCTAGAATATAAAAAGAACTCTTAGAACTCATCAATAAGAGACCAGTAATCCACTTAAAAATGGGCAAAGAAATTAAATAGGCATCTCTAGCAGAAGATATACAAATGCACAAACACATGAAAGATGCTCCATATCCTTAATCATCAGAGAAATGCAAATCAAAACAGGTACCCCCTAGAAAGACTATAATCAAAAAGATGGACAGTAACAACTTTTGGCAAGGATCTAAGACATTAGAACTCTCACACCCTGCTGGATGGAATGTAAAATGGTGCAGCTGCTTTGGAAAATAATCTGACAGTTCCTCAGAATGTTACACATAGCGTGACCATTATGACCCTAAACAGAATTACCACATGACCCAGTAATTCCACTCCTGGGTGTATACCCAAGAAACACGTACACTTTAAAGGTAAATTTCATGGCGTATGAATTATATCTAAATAAAGCTATTGTTAGACATAATAATGATAATAGAAGGAAGTTCTAGAAATAGACCAGAGGAGAAAGTGAATTCCAGGGAGCAGGGTGTTTCATTTCTCCAAGCAGCTCAGTATACCTGGAGCTGGTGTAGGAAGGGGGTAAGGAGAGAAGAGAGGAAAAACTGGGGGGTGGAGTCAATAAAGACCTAAAGAAGCCTCTGAAACAGTGGTAGGAGTGGGGTTTGACCTGACCCCATAGGAGAGGAATGTGGACTCTAAGAAAGGGCCCCCTCCCCTGCTCTACTGCTCCAACCTCCATGTCCAATTCAACCTAGGACACTGGCTTCTCCATCACCCAGAGAACTGCTAAACCAAAGTGGGGATTTTCTTACCTCCTGAGATCTGATAACCTCCTTATCTACAGGACAGAGTGGGACTGCATTTAATTCTCTGGAGAGAAATAAAAATAGAGCCGAATTAAGAGTTGACCCCAACAGCTCTTCCAAAGCAGCCCCAGCACTCCCACCATGCTTGACCCCTTAGAGCTCCCCCTGGACAGGCCGGGCCCTGTCTCCCCTCCTGCCGCTCCCTCCCCCAGGAAGGGTTCTCTCTCCCCCACCCCCCCTTTGTAGCTTCAGCACCTCCCCAGTCTGCTGAAAAACTCCCATTCATTCCCCAGGATGCAGGTCAATTAGTAAGTCCCCCAGACAGAGTTCAATGTCCTCTGCCAGTGCTTATCACCCTGTAACACAGCCTCTTTCCTTCACTAGTCTGGAGCATTCTAGAGGGCAGACACTGGGTCCTGTTCCACACTGAACCTCCAGCCCTTCCTCTCCATGCCCTAGAGCTTAGTTTAGTAAGGTGCCTGGAACACACACAGGTGCTGAATGGACAAACCCATGAATGAATGAGAATGTGCTATAATAACCCCCTTTCCAAGCTTGGTAGGAGACAGCTTACTTACTGCCCTAAATAAGCCCCCAAAGCCTGCTTCCACATCTCTCTTGGTCTCCACCTTCAAAATGGCAGGACCCAGGTTTTACAGCTGCCTCCGAAGCAGACAGTACCCCCACTGAGGTGCGGTCCCTTTCCGGATGTGACACCACCTTTGCCTTTTGGCAAGGAAAGGTCCAAGCAACCACCACAAAGACCCCGGTGAAACACAGGTCCTTCCCAACACAGACTGTGCATCAAGGTTTGCCCTCCCGTGCAAAACAGGTGTGGTCTACCTTTTAAAAAAAGGTGACTGAAATGAGCCCCAAGTCATGTATACAATTCTTGACTCATTATATTGTACACCTGAAACTAATAGAACACTGTATTTTCATTACACTTGATGTAAAAAAAAAA